CGGAACTGATTCCAAGCTTTGTTCTCATCCACCGTGGTTCCGGAACAACACATCTTCACCTCAGCTAGACCTACACGTTCGTAGAAACCCGAATGATGAGAATGCCGCAATAACAGAATATATTCCATCAAGTTGTAATATGAGAATACGTCGTCTCGTCGTACTCGGCATAGACGCAAAAATGTTACCTCAGTGTCTACTAGTTGGTCGTCTGTTGTCGTCCAGTCATGATACCCGAAAGAGTCGAGGTAGAGCTGGTATACCGGCGCAGTCCCTTTGTCTGGATGTGTGGTGAACTCAAAATCCGAAACGGATATATCGTATGCATAATCCCTTTCAGTAAGCCGCGGTGTTGGATTGCTGTGACCATGGATTACTGGCCCGAGAATTGTTACCTGAGCGCTCTTGGCCTCTCCAGTGATGTCGTCCCCTGCCGGAACATATTCCAGAACCCTTATCTCAGAATAAGAAGCGCGAATATCATGACTGATGGTGTACAGATGGGTAAACGGATAATCGATTTTGCATTCTAGGGAAGCCCATGACCAGCTTGGTGCTCGCCAATCCGTGGGTTTCGCGGCTACCACGCCCTGTCTGTGCAGTGGGATGTGCCACAGGAAATCTTCTAACAGAGACGAGCTCCAGAGACCAGCAATATATCTAGAACCAGGCAAACGCGCCAGAAACTGTTTGGTGATGCCTGAAAGGGCCGGAAGTTTGTCCGATGGCATTGTTAAATGTGTACCCGAATAAGCAGATACGATCTTTGTCCAAAGTGTTTGAATATCACGATCGGTACCGTTCTCCAGGATCTTGACATACTCCAATTTAGTAAATGCATCCTCGGTATTCCATCGGCGGCATTCGCATGTTGCGCTCTCACGACATTCCCAAAAGAGTTCTTGAGGTCCGAAGTGCAAAACACGGGGTGACAAGAGCCGCTCTTGACATACCCATGCCCGAGAGAGGAGAGGAAACCGATTTCGTGTTCCTTCCTCATCTCCTGTATCGAGCATTGGAGAGTAGTGCTGCAATAGCGGACGGCATAGAACTCGATACAGCGAATCCGTGCCTTCCTTCCCAATAAATTCATGATCTCTGTGGTCATGAAATAGTCCAGCCTGTTGTGATCCAGCACGAGTAGCTGCCAGTGTAAGGAACGACCTTGAATAGATTTCCATCATCTGAGCCGACTCCTGAAGCCAGTCGTCTCGGCTGTTCTGTATGATGCATAAAGAGTCTATCCAAAGGTATTCGATTCCGAACAGACGACTCATAACCACAGCATCTCTGTAGGTGGGCGGTAAATCGGTCATTGCAAAGCCCTCTTGCATCTCGTGGAGGTTTTTTGTTGTTGTCTCGAAAGCTCGCTTCGTACCCCAACAATGACTGAGACAGATATAACGGCCCTTATTGCTTGAGGTCTGGACTAGTTGCAGTCGTTCATCTCCGACACGACCAACCTTTATCAAACGAGAGGGTAGTGGCTGGTCAGCTTCAGTACTTCCGCACTTGTGCTTTATGAGACAATTTTTGATCCATCTTGACGCCACTTGAAAGCAATTAGTAGGTCCCGAGCTAGACATGATTTCGTTATCACATGGAAAGAAGTCCCAAGGGCAAGGCAGATCTGGGTATCGCGGCGTCAGCTAGCTGGCAAGCTGTTAGATCGAGACCAGACCTTGAGTGCAAAATATTCGCAGCATTTCATGGCCACGCAGAAGAACCATGCGGTTGGGTTGATCCCAAGTGAATTCCATGGGCATACTCTTTTTGGCATAGGCCGCCGAGCCAGGATTCCAGAATCCAACAAGAAGAGAACACATGGGACAAGAATCAGCAACACCACGGTCCAGCTCTGCTCCCTCCAGGCGTACGTTCTCTGCTGGCTCATGCACCCAAGTAGAACATGATGCACAAAGTATTTCCGAAAACCGAGGTCTTGGTTTCTTCTGAATCACTTCCGCCATTGTGATAGTAGTTGTTATGTTCCTGCGGAGAATTCGAGATTTCACTGAACTTTACGATGAATTAACGACGAGTCTGGCTTTATGATAGCCACTGAGGAGATTGATGTATGAATGTTCGATGTACATTTCGCAGCCTTGTTGGTGGGGTCACCAACGCATCGTTGAGGTTACGCAGGTGGCGTAGCACAGCCACAAGGTTTGTCGCTCACGCTCGCGTGATTCGCCAGGCAGGCGCGAGAAGCTCTATATCCATGCATGCTATTTAGGTAATCCACGCGTGCTTCTGTTTACCTACTTGACCTACGTCTGCGGCCAATGTTCGCTGACTTACACTCACATCTACAAATCTACTGGGCGTTTGTAAATCTCCACGCAGATCCGTACTGAGTGAGTGATCGCTGTGGCTTCCGGCGATCCTCGTTTTGGCCCACCAAATCAGCCAGCTATGAGCTATATCGAACTGACAAACCTCCCCTGCAATCCGGACTACTCGCCATATCATGATCTCGCCTGCCGGCATCGCATAAAAACAGCCTTCCCTGAATTTTGCAGTCCAAATTGTCAGGTTCCTCGCGGAAGACAAGGATTTCTCTGTCCGGAATGCCTCGTCGATACAGTGACCATGGAAGTACAGCTTGCCGACTTGTGCATGACCACTGATGAAGCTGGCGAGCGGACACGTACTACGCGGTCTGAGCTTGTGCGAGCAATTGTCGATAAGAAAGTATACGAGCTCCAAAAGCGGGGTTATTGGAGGCTTTGCACGGTAGTCGAGAAAATGGACCCGATACTGCAGTTTTATGATAGCTTCCCTGAAGCACATTATGCCGAGATGATGGATGGTATGGACGAGGTCCGAAGCAGGAAACGTCCTTCGGCGAAGGCTACTAAGAAGAAGAGCGCAAATCCGCAATCAAATCTCACTAGTAAGTGTTCTGCAATGACAGCTTCTTCTATCGCATTTGCTGACTCCCTTAAGATAGCAGCGCGTCTCAAGCGTCCGTCGGGCAGAGGGCAGTAATTCCAGGCTTTAACTCAAGCGATGTCCATAGCTTGATAGAAGATGAAGCAACAAAGGCGGTCAGAGAAGTACTTGAGAGGTTGGCGTTGGGTAGTACAATCCTGGGAGATGCAAGCGGATGCACTGGATAGAGCTTCGTGCTTCTTTCTGTACCTGTTTGCGCGAGAGCTACTAAATGTGGAAGCATCTCACTGATGGCGTGCGTAAGTAGGTTCTACTTCACGATGAGCTAATTGAAGGCTCCGATTCTTGTGTCCATGACACTATCCCCGACATTGTGAAGTAACTAGTCCCGGGGTATCCCTTTGATTCGTAACGATCACCTCTGAAAGTCACGGTCACCGGATCTAATCAAGACGTATATAGATCTTCCAATCAAAGCTTTGCCTTGTACACTAAAATTGTCTTGTGGCTCTCAACTTTTTTCGACATCATGGACAATCCTCTCTTTGACGAAGCCGCTCTCAAATCGGATCGAACATTTGAACAGTGCACACCTTGCGCCCAAGATTCCCAATTCCATAATTTGGAATGCGGTCATCGAATAAAGACCCCAGCACTTCCAGAATTCTGCGGCTCGAACTGCGTCGCTCGACCTTCAGGTGTACGCATAGACCACTCGCCCTTCATCTGTCCTATCTGCGACGAGAAAACGATTCGGTCCAAGATCATCCACGAACTGCAAAGGATGACCGAGAACGACGATCATACAGGGTCTTCTTGGTGGAAGAAGCATCAGATTGCGAAGGAGAATGTCATGAACTGCCTGCGACATTCGGGTCAGCGACCATGTGAGATTGTGGAACAGCTTGATGACCCAAAGCTTCAATTCTTCCAGGACATTGCAGGAGCTGAGCCCCTTGTGGAGACGCGCGAATGTCAGGGTACACTTGAAGATGCCATGAGCAGGCTGGACGACCAGAAGAATAGGGTCGAAGAACAGGTGCGGGTAGCAGATCAGACTGACGACTTCCAAGACAACGACACAAGGCTTTCAGGTGAACAGAGCCCGAAGGCACAGGCGATGCGTAAGAAGATACCACGTTCGGCGTTGAAGACGTTCAAGAAGGCAGGTCAGGCTTCACAGTAGCATTTGAATGGGGGACGTACACCTTTCAGATGTTAGACAATGATAAAATGCTCTAGCTCATGAACTCCTCCTCGTTCGATTTGGGAAAGAGTTTTGATAATTAAAATGAATCGATTACACACGAAATGGCTCGCACGATTTGATCAAGGGATTCTAGTTAGATATGTTGGACCGTGATGAGAGTCAAGACGCTTCAATGATGAATGATATGTATAAATATGGCGATAGCCCATATCTGGAGAGTACGAGACGCAGAATTTGTTGATACGTACACGCAGCTAAAGTCGTGAAATGAGCAATATACGTAATAATAAGCAAAGAACTGTGCCTTAGCCGAGAAGACAGTCTTCCATGCATATCTGATTATCTTACAGATTGACCGAGAAAAACACTGGAATGACGGATCCCGCTGAGTTGTTTGGTTCATGGTTCATGGTGTAGCCAAACATTCTTGAGATAGCAATCAGATCATACAAGATGGCTCAAAAAGCCATCGATTAGGTGCATATATATCGTGGTTCATCAAGCGTGAGTTGCAGCCAAAATTCGCACGCACATAAGTAACTGCTCCTATGTTTCAGCTCCGACGTGAATCAATCTGGGCATCTCAAAGTACATGCTTATCTTGTTCCTAGGCCATGGGCTTCTCATATGAACAGAGATAATCTCAAACTGAATACGAAGAGATTAGGTCGATATATAACTCTAGCTATCTAGTTTCAGCTATCTGGAGAACATTGCACGCGTCGCAATGAGTCTATTATCTATACTGCAATATTCATCGCAGAAAGACGATTCGTCCGTTTCAGACTCCGATCAACATTGTGCAGTCAAAACGTTACCTTCACATGGATCAGCTATCACAGTGGAGGAGGACATTCACCGCATTCGACATCGCCGACTCGTTTAAAACGACACCCCTTGTTGCATTCGGAAACGTCCCCTATTCCAACACAACAGTGCGCCTATTACAGACGTCAACGGACTGAACGCTCGACTGACCCGAGAGGAACGCCAAGCAAGCCACCATTCGGAATATTTTTTCGAACCATCTCTCCGGATTACCTCTACCTTTTATCTCTTTCAAACCCCGAAAAGATGTCTACCATGCTCTCGCACGCAGAAATTGCACAGTTGAACCACGATAACAGCCCCTGCAAACACGGCAGCTGTTATCACGACTTGACTTGTGGACATCGCATTCGCATCAAAAACAAGGTCGAAGTGCTTTGCGGTTGGAATTGTGAGCATCCCAAGAATTCCAACATGACAGTCTCTCACGCCTTTGTCTGCCCAGCCTGCGTGACTAAAGAGGTACAGGAGCAAATCGAACACTGGGACAGAGTCCTCGGTGGACTGGACATGACTCGCGAAGAGCGAGCAGCATGCATTGCTGCAGACATCCTCGACCGCGAACAGTCCGATGGTGGAAGAATCACCTGTAGTGCGGTCACCAAAGCCGAGAGTGGCTACATCCAATACTTCGTGGACTTTTCTGAAGAAGTTGATGCGGAGGACAGAGCTGCAGAAGAGAAGAAGGCGCAGCAACGGAAGCTGAGGCACCGAACAACGAGATCTAATGTACTTCCACCAGTACGCATGGACGATGAGGCTCGTACTGCTAAGATACAACCTATGCAGTCCCAAGACGCGGAGATGGAAGATGCCTTCGCGGCTGCAATCATGGAGGAGCTCGATCGCGTCGAAGACTTTTCCTCCGAAGACGAGAACGATGCTGTGGACGACGTCGAGAACAAGCGTCGTGTAAGGAGTGGACCCCCAGCTCCGATTCACGAAGATCAGCCCGAAGACGAGTATACCCCTCGACCAGAGGACGAAGCGACAAAGGCCGTCCGCGAACTTCTCGATTCGATGCTTTTGAGTGACAGCAATCCTGGGGAATCTAAAGAGGTAACTTATGTGGCCCGAAGAGTTGCGCGAATGGAGATAGTGGATGAACTGGAAGACATCGAGGAGTATTCGGATATCCTAGACGAAGATTCTGAGGAAGACGACCCTGAACCAGAAGACCCCTCCGATGAAGATTACAGGCCCGAGATGGATGACAACGAGTCTGAACTGGACGAGGACGACTTGGAGCTCCTGAGGCTGGAGCGAGACTATGATCTTCGTCATCCACGGCGACCCGTAGGGAACAGGGAGGATGATGGGGATGAAATGGTGTGTTAGTGAGGTACACGCTCCTGAGTCTTACTAGCTCCTACTGTCATTTTGGGTTTCATTTGATTTCTAAGAGCGTATCTTGTAGGACCCTGGGCGGTTGCGTGTCTCGATTGCGGCTCTTTGAGTGTTTGTATCATCTTAATTATTTATATACCGGTAATAACGAGAAGTCTTCTGCGCTTTCGTCTGTAATGATTATGTTAAGTCCACAGTCATCCATGCCTTGTCGTTGAGAACATGTGTCAGTGACAAATCGATACCACGTCGAGCTCGAACGGGAAGGACATAAATATCTACCTAGCTGACGGGCAAACCCATAAGAGCACTACATCGAAAAGCTGCCAGGGTGGAGTGCCGCTTAGGTGGAGAAGAATATCACGTGATAACCCAATCCACGTGGCGTTGTGACCTTGAGGCCTCCACAACAGTAGGGTCAATAGAAAGGGACACTTAATAAGTGATAGCGAATCAAGTTCCGTTGCCTGAAATCATTGATCGATGTGTTTTCTTTGTGATAAGAAGGTCGCTAAGCACCGTGTTCGTAGCCTTTCCCACACCCGGCTAGGCTTACATGACAATCACAATGATGATCTAGCCCCTCGAGTTCACTCGATGAGTTCTTTCACCCCTTTCCGAACGAAAAATAAATTTCTTGGACAAGTCGTGATGCGATAATATTGCGAAAACTGAAGCTGGAAAGTGAAGCGGATTGACGTCTGCATTGAGACGATTAGCGCCTTGCCAAGCCCACTGTCTCAAACCTTGCGCCATCTGAGACGTTGATCCACTTCATCCCGCCGAACTGCATTGCTGCATTGGGCATCAATGGCTCTCTGGTTCATTTCGATGTCCATACGCGCGTCCAATGTCGATTCATTGAACACCCCGTCTCCTAAGTGGCCTGCCTGCGCGCCCTCAACCACACGACATCAACAATCACCACATGAGGTCAGGTAAAGATTAGGAGCACTCAACGTCGGCACAGATTGTCAAACAGCCACCGCATGGCATACAGACCCCTACTTTCTGTCCCAACCCAAAAGCAACTAGAACGAAGTTTCTTTCCGCATTTAGATCCCGAGGAGATCCCGACAGCTGCCAACGACTCGCTCTGTGTTATGCGGGGCGTATTGAACCTTAAAACTAGTCCAACGTCTGCTAGCGCAACTATGCCTTGATTACGGCGGTATTCGAAACCACTCGCGCAGCGCAATCATGTCTGTTCAGATCATTTGCATTCACAAAACCGGCGTGTAAGCCCTTGGGTGTCACTCTGGGAAACTCAAGGCAACGATCATGTGTGCATTTTGTGAGAATACAGACATTCGAGGCTCAATAAGCACGTAAATCACCATCAAAGATCTTGGGTTAAGACGATCAGCAAGGTGCTGGATCAGTGTGCTTCATGAGATGCCGAGATCATCTACCGGCGAAGATCATGGTTTCAAAGTGCGAATGTATCCACGCCAGACTGGCAGACGCCCACCTTCGTGCGCCACAATAAAGTTCGGAGAATTTCAACAGATCACAGCGACATGTCTGGCACGAACTTGTTTTGGTGGCATCCAACGTTCGCAGCCTCTAGTTGGATGCCATGCAGGATCTCTTCATTGTGGTCTAATCCTGCTTTGGGTAAGTCAGCCACTACCCGAAGTTCTGAATCGAGCATGCCGTTTCCTCATGTCCATCCCACATCTGCTAACTCGATTCAATACACTAGGATGCACTTATCATACAAGAATCGTGAGCAGCCACGTTCATTCGATCGGCTGAACTAAGCATACGCTGATAGCCACATCGCACGTGGGAACGGAATGTGGTGCGCCATCCCTGCCTCAAACTACAGGTCGAAAATAGAGTTGCATATCGCGCTTAGCCATCAGGGACTGCCCAGGTAGATTATACTGGGGCTCAGTCTCAAATCGTTCATACTTGACAGCAGCTGCTTCTCAAGACTATCAACACGTACAGCTTTGCACTCGAGCGGGCACCACCATGGAAGAAGTTGCAGGCATACGACAGCATGCAGACTCGCTGTTTCCTCGAGCGGGAGGCCCATTTCCTCCTTCTTCAGTCGTTGCGGCTTGGCCTATGCCCAATTACATCAACCCGGAAACTCGAGACTGGTTGGCGCTTGTTCAGAACGGCCGGACTCCACTGACTCTCTTTGTAGGACAGGTCCCATCGTCCTGCTCGTAGTAGCAACGATCACATCTGTGGTATATATCGCACGAATATGGGCTCGCTTATTTGTGGCGAAGAATGCGGGTCTTGATGACCTGCTCATGTCGGCTGCGATGGTCCCATTGCTCGGCTTGACGGTGGCTGTTATACTTGGTAAGTTACAAGACCCTCCATTTCGTCCAGGCATCGACATGGTCCGAGCCTTTCGCCCACAAACAAGGTGTACAGATCTCGTACCATGTGTATATGCCAAGAAAAGGTTTCAAATAAGTTGACGAATTCAAGGCATAAGAGTGTATGGCTTCCAGTGGCATGCGTGGGATCAAACCCCGAAGACCTTGATAACGACACGGCAGGTACGTTGTATAGCAGAGGTAATAATTCAGAGGTACTGAAGAAAGACTAGATTACCCTAGTAATCGAAGTACTATACCTAGTATCAACATCACTCATCAAAATCTCGATCCTCTGCTTTTATCGGCGGATCACAAATGGATCCATTTCCAGAACCTTTGTGTACCTGGTGTGGGCTTTTATTATCTTTGTCGTCGTTTACATGTTCGTTTTCATCTTTGTCATTGTCTTTTCCTGCTCGCCAGTGGAAGGCTATTGGCACCTTTTTGACATCGCCTGGAGGTTGCAACACGAAGTGAAATGCCATAACGAAGGCGCGGAGATTGTCTCGGTGGTCGTCGTCAGCACTCTACAGGACTTCTTTATTTGCGCCCTGCCTATATTCTTAGTGTGGAACTTGCAGATACCTCGGCGACAGAAAGCAGCACTGATAGGCATATTCGGCATGGGCCTTGTTACTTGCGTGTGTGGAATCATGCGCACCTACTACGCCATTTACGTATACTATTACACCTACGACATAACCTGGATTGCATTTTACGGATGGATATGGACCGCTCTCGAGGCCGACCTTGCTGTCATCTGCGCATCGGCGCCTGCTCTGAAGGTGTTCTTCCGTCGTTACTTCAACCTTTCTGCCAACCGCAGCGGTAATTCCAACTCAAGAGACAAGAGACCATTTCATTTGGGAAAGCTGAGTCCAGGCAACTCTGATGGATCCTCAAACATGGACAGCGGCTCCAGGCCCTCTGAACCTGTGCCAATGGAGCGATTTCGAAAAAGTCGCGGCATTAGTATCAATACTGAAGGGAGGCGCAACAGCGACGCGAGTACAAATTATCTGACAGCTCTTCCTTCACCGCTGTCAGAGGATCTGGGGACTAGGTGGACTGCAGGATGTCGTACAGTCGTGGCAACCTTTCGATCGGATTCCTACGCCAGTTCGGGGAAGAAGAGTCGGAATGAGCGACACGATCTGGATAGAGAAATTGGCACGAACCAGCAGATATGAGCGTGGTCAATGCTTCGGTGCTCACTGTCGTGCAGTATTAAATTACAGTGGACGAATCACACCGTCCTGCAGTCGATGAAAGCTGGTGAAAGGATCTAGCACAGTACCTCAACATTTCAAAACCACGGGACCGCATGAGCTATCGCACCGATTCTCATCGCTTGCGCAATTCATGAAGACGAGCTTTGGATCGTTGCCTGACGTAAGGGGAATACATGACCTCGTTGGTCTCAATGCATTTACCAACCTGGAAATCTTCAGCCCCAGACCAGCAGGAACTACAATCCACCGCCCCCAACCGCAAATCCCGTCGTAAATCGCGCATCAACATAGTGCTCTTTACCAAAGGCAACCTTATGTACCTGCGCGAGTAACTCCTCTGGACTGCTTTTCGAAGGCACGAACACCAGACCAGCGTCAGCCGCGGGCTTCTGAGTGCCGACGTAATTGCCATTACCATCCTTCGCATAGTGCTCGAGATAATAGCTTCGCCGCATTTTCCGGACAATGACTGTCTGGCTGACCTTTCCGACTTCGCGAAAAATCATGTTCTTGAGCGACTTCTTGTCGGTGCTGTGAATCATGGGCACGGCGATGATTTCGTCGGGGTCGCCAACTGCGAGCGAGCGCATCTCGTCATTCACCTCTTCGGCTAGGGACGAGTACTGTGGGGGTGGAGTCCTGGATACGGATCAGCTCGCTACGTATGCTCGCTTCATTGAGAAGAATTTACTCTTCGTGCTCTCTCGCTCGACTACTTTCGGCTCTGGCCTCGACTTCTGGTAACGACATTGTTGTTGGTGTCTCGTTCTAGTCGATTCTCGAGAGTGAACAAATTGGAGTTTCGTCGCCATGTTATATCTTGGGTTTCCGATGCATTGGCGATTGTGATGGCTCAGCCTACCGTAAACTAGTCACCAGGCTGAGCGCCGCTCGGTCTGCCGATAGCCAATACGGAGTTGCGTATGGACGTCACGGGAGCATTTCAACGATGCTAGCTTCACCGAACAGCATTCGTCACGGCAAGGCAGACTCGTCAGCTGCGTTATCGGATCATTTACACCTTGGAAGGTGTGGCAATCTTCCAACCCGAGCGGGATGTTGTTGCGACCGAGGGACCGTCCAAATGATCACAGCTATCAAGCTCGATTGTCGCATGGGCATCTACCGGCCACAATGAAACCCCAGACATCTAAAACAGTACCTTCGAATGTCTAATGCCATGCTATGGTGACAGAAGCTTATTGCTCCTTCGGGCTGGACCGAAGATCGGCAAACGTCTCCAAATTTCCCCGCAACCAGGTCTAGCCCCCCTCATCCGAGTCGCTCCTAAAATCCACCATCTTCTCGAGCCGCTTCATCATGATCTCTCTCAACCACTAGAACCCCCAATTCGCTCATCACAATGCCACAAACCCTCAAAATCGCCTCCTCGCAATCTCGCACCCTCTCCACAGCCGCCTCCACCCTCCTCGCTCTCGAAGAAACCGCCAAACACGCAGCCGCCCAGAACATCGACATCCTCCTCTTCCCCGAAGCCTACCTCGGCGGCTACCCGCGCACATGT